AAGCAGATTCAGATATTGGACCACGTCTATACACACATGTATATTGTGTGGCTCAAATGCCACTTGAGTAGATTACGAGGGGATTTTTTTGTAAAATTTTTATTTTTTGTTTATATAATACGGAAAAAAAACAAGTTTCTTTTTCTTTTGCTTGAAAGGAAAAAAAAAAAAAAAAAAAAAAAAAATTTTTTTTTTTTTCTAAAGGGGGGGAAAAAAAAAAAAAAAAAACTTGGACAAACCAATTTTTTTTTTAAAAAAAAAAAACTTTTTGTTTTTGCTAATGAGACGGAAAAAAAAAAAAAAACAACTTGGACATACCAATTTATTGCTTGTAGATCTTTTTACAAAAACAGAAAACCAAAGATTTTTTATACATTACCTTACACAAGTTGCTTTTTGAATGCACATTATATGCGCATAACGTAACATCGGTATATCGTTGGGGAATAAATATGTAGAGTACAACGTTAAACATCAAAGTAATTCAGTACTAATTATTAATGGTATCTTAAACCTTTTTTTTTTTTTTTTGGTTAAACGAAAACGTAAGAAGTTCGATAAAGTTCACGAGTGGAATCTCAAACTGATTTTATTAAGAGTATCAATCTAGCTTTCTAAGGATTATAAAGATGACTTTTTATGTAACACTAAGAACTAAGAAAAAAACTATTTTATAAATAGTTTTGGTTTTTATTAACTTTTTCATATGTTACTTTCATTTATTAGTATCCTGAAGTCACGATCGATGACCAACAAAAAAAAAGGAAGCTGATCTTCATGAAATATTTTATTGCACCATATACAAATTATCCCTTGACTATCTAGATATACACACGTGAGAAGTATATTCTAATCTTGTATATATATATAAACTGACACACGTGTGGCAGTTCATTATACATGAAATCCTAGATATTCGTGAGGGAATTAAAATGATCGTGATGAAAAAATAACGAAGAAAGAAAATATGCGTGGTGAAGTTATCCGTGACCATTCTCGTGCTAGGCACTAACGTAACCATAGATGACATGATGACGGCCCAACCGCCGTGTATAAAGTGGCACTACAAAATATGATCTCATGCATCGAAAAGTCAGAACTACCCCTTTATGGACTAGCACCACCAGCATTCTTGCTTTGATTTTTAACAACACTTTTAAGGGCATCTTTGACCTTGAACAAGAAAATTCCATATATCTCTTTGCCTTTCCAGTCGGCAGAACCTGTAATAGTGTATAGTCCCAAATCCAAGCAAAGGAATCGGACTTTGGTTAGGCCACGCGGGTGAGAGAGAGAGAGAGAGAGAGAGAGAGAGAGAGAGAGAGAGAGAGAGAGGAATTAAACACAGAAATCGAAATGAAGAGGAACCCTCCAAACATCATAATTCATGCCTAAACTAGGCAAAAGAGGGAGATGAATTTAGTCAAATTGGAGTAATAAAGGAAAGAAAAAAGATCTTTCAGGATGTATATTAGAATCCCAAATAATGTATTCTATTGGAGAAGATATGTCTCAGATTTTGGGATATATGGCTAATGCCTTATGCTCATGTGAATTATGATAATATATATATATATATATGTATGTATAGCATTATGCTTCTGTGATATACTGATCAGTACTACTGCTGTTCGCCTAAGCCAGCTGATGCCAATTGCGTACGGCCCTTTACACTTTTGCCATTGCCCTATTCCCTCTTTGTCTGCTATTTTGGAATCTCAACGCCAACCTAGCTATATCATGTACGTATGTAGAGAGTTTTTATAATAAGGATATCCTTACAATAAAAAATGTACTATTTTAATAGATTTTTATACAAACTTTACCGTAAAAACAAAGCCTCGTAAGATTTTTTTTTTTTGTTCTTTTTGTAATATCTCACCGTAAATACTCATATTTTCTTTACGATGAAATTTTATCTGTAGTGTAAGTTTTTAATTATTAAATTTGATTAAAATTACATCAAAATAAAAAAAATATGTAGGAGAAATACAAACTTAACACCTTAAAACAAAAATTTCTAGGGTTACGCAGTGAGACATGAATCGACTCATCCTTATTGTTGTGTGAACAACTTTAAATATTAGTTGAATCTCTGTCTAAAGTGGGCGTAGCTCATTAATTGGTCTCCATTTTACTCCATTTACATGTTTATCTGTTTATAATTTTCTGATATTAAAGCTCGAGAGGATTCAAAACAGTGGCCATGAGTCTCAATTAACGTTATAAATTCTTAAATTATTATTATTATTTTGTTTATTCACTGTAGATAAACCAACGTCTATAAGCACAATTCGAATTAAATTGTTTGATTCAAATTGTTAAATCATACATGGGCTACATTTATCATCTCTCTCCCATTACACAGTTTCTATATTATAATAGTTAAGCCTTACCCTCTCCACGCTTCTTTTCATGCCAACGTTTGCCTAATGCTCTTCCCATATGCATGCGATCACATTCATGCAAATAGTGTTTTTTTTTTTTTTTATATAGTTTGAATTTTTATTCCTATTCATAATTAATATCTTTTTTAGTCAAATAAATTTATCAGTCAAAAAAATATTAATCAATAATAAAAATAAAAATCTATGACTTATTTATTCTAAGATAAGTTCAACAATTTTCTCTCAATTTAGAATTTAATGGTGGATTGGCCGTGGGTCTGGTGTGTTAATGAATTTGGTTTTTGTAAAAGGTAACACTTATAGGATGTTTGTTTATTGTATTCGTCTCTGATTCGGAATCATAATTCATGATTCTCTACAGTGTTTTTCTCTCACAAAAAATACATGTAAAACGAGAATTGTTCTAAATCATGATTCTAAATACATAAACCAAACGTCCATAATGTATTCCATTTACGATCGGTACATATTAGTAATAACATTCTGATAATTAGTCAATAGATTACGACCCATAGCAACAAATAATCGCCCCAGTGTACACGCACAGTATAACAAAACTTGCACAAGTTAATGATTGATTATTTATGATAAGTTTACCATAAACAAGGTTCAATGCTGTCTCCGAAATTAATGTTATTCGAGATTGACCAAGTACAACAGTAAACTCTTTATTTTTAAATAATGAAAAATGAAATTGTTTTGATTAATAGACAGATTTTACGCGACTATCATGTAAAAGATTGATGACTTCTGAAAAATGATGGTAATACAAAAATTAAACGGATATTTTATTTTATTAATGGCAAAAATGTGAAAAGGGCAAAAGAATAAGGAAAAAGGTTAGATTACCCTTTACCAAAAACAGTGTAGTTTGTCTCGTGATGATATTATAAGTATTTTTGAAGGACATAACATTACGGAGTAATCAAATGAAAGTTATATTCTATCAAAACAAATCAAATGAAAAGTTATGCATAATAAACAAAAAAGAGGCCTAATAAGCCTAGAATAGTAGATTATTAGATTGTCTCATACCCTATGTGAATTTCTTTAATTCATTTCTCCAATTCCAAAAACTGACCTCCCATAAAAATAAGGAATTGACAAAACCGGCCTTTCTTTTACTGGCTGGATAACAAATCCACGTTTGGAACAATATCCTTTTCGACACATTCTAATATCCGCAAAATTAAAGGGAAACACCTAAAAACGAGTCATGTCCTCCACCAACGATTCAAAACTTTGGCCAAATTACACAAACAATTTTTCTGTCCGGTAAAGTAATCATATGGTACTCATAAATACAGACGGTGCAAATATGGATTTTTCTCTGAAAATTTAGGGGCTTTACTGAATCTCTACTGATTTGCAGTTTTTCACCCACCCCATAAAAGAAAAAACAAAAAAATTCTCAAAAAGAAAATAAAAGAGAAATAGTGCTTTGTTTATATGGGTAAAACAGTAATTGTAGGTTTTATTTCTTTATTGTAAAAAGGGACTAATCCCCCTTCCGTCTTTTTTTTTTCCCTCTTATTTATTAATATATTTTTTCCGTTTTCCACACTGAGAAAAGTCACTGTTTTCTTGTCTTGTCATTTAGCACTTAGCACAGTTATAGAGAGAAGGAGAGAGAGCCAACAAGTCGACCATTCATAGACAACCATTTCGTTAGGGTTTTAGGGTTTTGGGGAAATGGGCTCTTCTTAACGAGGACAATCACCCCTCTTATGGCTCATATAATTAACTATTTACTACAAGGCAAATATAATGGAATTTTTTTGTAAAAAAACAATTAGAATTTTGTTCATTTCTTTTCCAAAATTGTATAATTTCCTTCTTTTTTATATCTATAGAAAATTTCTCCCTTCATGCACTAGTAAGACACTGTCAATTAGAGTGTGTGAGTAAACTTTTTTATTAAAATTTTATTATAACAAACACCGTAATAAAAGAATTTAAATCGTAATTTGAGTTGTAATATTTTTCATTCTTTATTATTATTATTATTATTCTTTGTATACTATTAATATAACACTTAATTTATTTTAATATGACTCTCAATAAATATAATTCAACACTTATAATATTGAGCATTACAAAAATATTAAATGTATTGAATTAGTCAAGCATCGAATTTAAAACTTTATTTGTTTTTATATATCTTTCTCTATAGTAGTACTTATTATTTTGGATATTTTAAACGTTAAATAAGAATTGATAATAAGAATAAAAACATCATAATAAGAATTGATAGAATCTAATACGAATCAAATAGTTTAAAATTAATATTCTAATAAAATTTTCTATTCTTATAATTATAATTTATTTAAAAAGTATATTTAAATTATAATTTTTAATTTTAACGTTTAAAATTTAAATTTTTTATTAAAATAAAATTAATAATTTAATTTTGCATAGATGAAACAAATTACCATAATATATTTTTTATTGTTCTTAACTAATCTGCAAAAACGATGCTGGGATTAAAAGGAAAGTGAGAAAGTAATTATAGCATACTACAGCACCACGCCACCTCGTCTATAAATGAGGACAGCTTCCCTCTCTCTCCCTCTCTTTCTTTGTAATTTCATTGGTGACAGTTTAGTATATGTCACCTGCTAGCGCCGTTCTCTCTCTCTCTCTCTCTCTCTCTCTACAAAATACACGAAGTCCAAGCTTTTCTCTACCTGTGTTAATGGCTGCTCCACCAATATCTCCTTAACCCGGACCATAATTCAAACACCGTCTCTCTCTTTTCTCCCTCTCGCTTGTTTATCAAAATTGAAGCAGCATATATATAGAAGAAAAAGAACAATATGGTGAGCTTTTTCTTGTCTATATAAAATTATAAAGTAATTGAACTTTGATTTTCTTTTTTCTCTAATACTTGGGGTTTTTATTATTTTTGTAGTTTGTTTCTCCATCGAATCTGCTTCCTCGCTGGCTTGAAGTTCTCCTGACCGAGAAGTTCTACAACGCGTGCATAATTCATGAAGAGGCCAAGAAGAACGAGAAGAACATCTACTGCTTGGACTGTTGCATCAGTCTCTGCCCTCACTGCTTGCCTCCTCATCGCTCTCACCGTCTCTTGCAGGTTCTCTCTCTATCTCTCTTTCTCTCTCTATAATTCAACTTTAGTTTTTTTTTTTTTTTTTTTGGAAAAAGGTTAATTTTCTTGTTGGTCTTAAAAATCTTGCTTTTGCTCATTTTTTTTTTTTTCATTTCTTTTGATTTGATCGTGACAGATCAGGAGATATGTTTACCATGACGTTATAAGGTTGGATGATGCTTCCAAGTTAATTGACTGTGCTTTTGTTCAAGTAAGTTCTATCATTCAATTTTGTGGAGACCCATGTTTGAATTATTTCTCATTTCTCACGTCTGATTCTTTTTTTCTTTTTCTTTAGATATGGTCTTACTTAATTAAAAGAGTATTTTGCCAAAGAAATTTGAAATTATCCCAATTTCTGTATGTGCGCAGTCATACATAACAAATAGTGCAAAAGTGGTGTTCTTGAACCAAAGGCCTCAAACAAGGAACTTTAGAGGCTCCGGCAATATTTGTAGCACTTGTGATAGAAGCCTTCAAGACCCTTACATCTTTTGCTCTCTCTCTTGCAAGGTTTCTCCTAAAATTTCACATTTTTTTTTTCAATCTGGGTCTTTTCCAAAAATCCCAAATTACAATTCAAAACTTTTTCTGTTTTTGGTTTTGACAGATTGATTATGTCATAAGAACGGAAGGTGGCTTGTCCAACTACCTATTGGAGTGCAAGTTCTTGTCCCTGCCCGAGCCGGGTTTCGACGACGGTTTGATGACACCGGATTCCGTCCTCGAGCCGGCCGGTTCGGGAGGGAACGGAGGCGTGGGGTGCAAGACCTTGGTCTGCACTGCGACGACAGAAGTTGTGAGGAAAAAGAGGAGCAGCGTTTCGGCTTACCGGTCGGTTTTCCGGCCGGTTTGCTCTCCGGTCTCGGAAATCTCGGCGGCTCTGATGAACCGGAGAAAAGGGAATCCTCAGAGGGCTCCCCTTTATTGAATTAGGGTGTGTACGGACTGGTGGAGAGAGAGAGAGAGAGAGAGAGGGAGAGGTAAGGGAGGTTTTTTTGCAATGAAAGTATACTTTAGTCTGTTGTAGTATCAGGGTAATTTGGCGGTCAAAAAGAAGAGAACCAAAAAAAAAAAAAAAAAGAAATCCCCCAATTTTGTTGAGGAGTTTCTTCTCAATCTCACTCTCTCTCTAGTGTTCTTCTAGTGTATGGTACATTTTGTGCCAATTCGAAAATATTTATTGTTTGGTGGTCGCTTTTGGTGATCTTTTTTACAAAAGTCACATTGAGTAATAGTAAACAAGCAGTTGGTAATGAGTAATGACCATGCTTCTCTTTTTTTTCTTCTATTTTTTTGGTTTTTAACATATTTTCTTGGAAATTCTACGCGGTAGTAATAATCTTTGCAGAAATTATTTAAAGCCCATTTAAAAAGTATATTTAAACTCATGATTTCTTTAAGGTTTGAAATTTAAATTTTTTGTGAGAACTTTACAGTGTAGTAGAATTGTAAAGTTTGAATTTGAGTATATGAAATAAGTTTTTTTTTTTTACATATTTTTTTAATTTAATCTTATTAAAATCAGATTCAGCAATTAAAAATAGGCTATCAATAGTGCTCTTACTGTAGAATGACAATATTTTCGTGAGATTACATTTAACACTATTGGCCATTTTGTGCTTTTTGCTTGTAAAATGCTTCTAGTCAAGTGGATGGCAGCTAATCAAGTGTTGTGTTTAGAATTCCAAGGATAAAAGTATGAAAAAAGAAAAGAAAATAATTTTGTGGCAGGAATAAATTTATATAAAATTATATAAAAATTAAAAAATATGTAAATTTAATAGTTAAAAAAATTTAATCTAACTGTACGTGTGGCATATCTTTTAAAAATAATCTGCCTTTTAGACACCATATTTTGGTCTCGTTTATTTTGTTGATTCGAGTTGAGATGTGATTTTATGTGATAATTTTTTACTGTAATAAAAAGTTAGATGTGATTGTTTGTGAGAGTTTTTTACTGTAGTAAAATTTGAATTCTAAACTCGAATCAACGAACGAATGAGGCCTATTTTTGAATTGAATTTTGTTTTCAGTTAAAACACTTGATAAAGTTTGATAAATATATCATGGTTAATAAAATGTGCCCCATCTCAGAATTGTTCATGTTTCTTTTGTGGGAACAAATTGAGATTGGTTCAAGAACTATTTTCCTTTTTTTGTGTGGATTGTAGAAGCCAAACCACATACAATTTGAACCAAGATATGTGAATGTGACATTCTATTAGCGACCAGATGTTTGATTAAAGATCCAACAATTTTATTCACCCCACTTCTTCTGTTTTGGTTCTTTTCTCTTTTCTCTATTTTTCCATTGGACATAGTAATGACAGAATTGAAAGGCCCATGCCATTCAATTATTTTACTGTTTTTTCACTTCCCCAATGTCTCTGTTTGAGAGGAGAAACTATTGACTACATTTTTTGAACATCTCAAAATATAGATTAATTTTTTTTGGGGAACATGTAACGCCATGTATATTTTTTAAAACCTTTGCTACGGAAAATTTTGTATTTATCCTAAATAAAGTAAGTAAGTTAGGCATATTGATTTGCGTGGGCCACTCTGAATTTTGCTTCCGCTTCTCGTTCAATGTATTTCATATTAGCATGCAATTATGGTATTTTGTTTTCTTTTTTGATTGTTTTTTTTAACTTCCTTTATTATCATCCAAATAATATACTTAAACATTATCCAACCAAGATATCTTAGTGTGTTTTTACTAGTAAAACGGGAAATAGAGAGATGAGGTTGTTTAGGTCGTGTTTGAAATTGATTCCGTTTTTATTTTTTATGTTTTTCAAAAAATAAAAAATAAAAACGTTTCTAGAACGAAGTTTAGCACAATAAAGATAAAAAACATAAATGAAAATAATTTTTTAATTTAGTATAAAATGAGATAGAAATAAAAAATAATTTTTAGTCGTTTTTTATTTTTTATTTTCATTTTTTCCTCTCTCGAGCAGAGAGCGAGAGAGAAACATTAAAAAGTTTTTTTTATACTGAAAATAATTTCTTAATAAAACTATTAAACGCATTTTTAAAAATGATTTTGTCTGATTTTCATACAAAAAAATAAAATTATTTTAAAAAAAATTCTAAATGCGTCTTTAATTTTTCTATTTTTATTTTTATTTTTACTTTCAGATGGGTTTTTTATTTATTCGTACCTTGTTAATCCTTGGCCTTAAAAAGAAGCACTTGGTAACTTTAGGCAGTTACAGCTTTGCACTTAATAGAATGCGTGGACTTATTGCAAAACAGTAAAAATTCTTGTTTCGGTAAACAACTCTATGAAATTTCGCTGTCTAATCCGTAGTAGTAATGTATCTCCCTACAGCGAAGTAATGTGTTAGGTTTAAAGAAGTTTTATTGTTTTGGCGTGAGATTTTTATTTTCATATTTTAATGGGAGAATGCCTGGCAAGTAGTATAAGAAACACTGCTGCTGGGATACAACTTTGAATTGTTAAATGACATAATTACCATAGCAGTTATCCTTTTTCATCACCGGGAGGAATTGTTTAACCGTTAAATTAATTTTTTAACGATTTGATCTATGATTAAAAAAGATTTTACATTTTAATTTTTATTGTAAATATTCACATATTAGACCGTTGTAAAAATAATTTAAACTTATGAATATCAATCAAGATAATAATATTTGAAACTTTCAAATTACGTCTTACCTGTGGATTTTTTTTTTTCATATTTTAGCCCAAAATTTTCCATTTTATAAAACTCCCTCGTGCACCACACACTAACGATTTTCTCATTTACATGACTCTGTTCATTTCGTTAATTCGAGTTTTGTTACAGTAAAAAACTCTTATAAATAATCATATTTAATTTTTTTATTATAATAAAAAGTTCTCACGTAACATCACATCTCAACTCAAATTAATAAACTGAACGAGATGAATCAATTGAAACTGGCTTGGTTTCTATTTGTCAATAGGAATTGCAATCTTGTTGATTTTTTCTTAGACAAATTTTTAAACTTTTGTGTTTGGTAAAACCAAAGAAGAAGTGCAATAAATTAATGTGTTTATCTAAGCCGTTTCGTACGAACTATAATTTCCCCAGGCAATAGGCATTGCGGAGGGATTGTGATGCGCCAACCTACTTGATCACGATAGTCCTTTATGAGATAGTACTTGACAGTTACATGAAATGATGAAGTTGGAGAACACATTGATTATTCTGATTTTGTGGGAGGTTTTTTAGTAAACATTTACAGCTTAATTCCAAATCTTTGGAAGTATTTACCGACATTATTTGATATTGTAAGACCCGTTTAGTTGGGTGATTTAAATTTTTAATTTGAATTAAAATGTAATTTTATATAAAAAAAATTTACTATAATAAAAAAGTTAAATATGATTATTTTTGATAATTTTTTATTGTAATAAAACTCAAATTTTAAGTTCAAATGAGTAAAATAAACGGGGCTTTAAATAACCCTAGTTGACTCTGATTGTTTTATTTGTATCGAAATCTTCTTTGAGTATGATTAAGAAAGTGTTATTTTCATCCTAGTCTCCCATATGTCATTATTCTTTTCTCTGTCTTCTTGTGTTAACTTGAGTATAATTTTCATACTTTGGAATTGGTAGGCTTCATCGCTGAGGGCACCCCACATCCAACAACATTTAAAAGAATAAATCACGGTCTCATTTATTTCACCGATTTGAATTTAAAATTCAACTTTTGTTATAATAAAAAACTCCAAGAAACAGTCACATTTAACTTTTTTACTACAGTAAAAAACTATAATATAAAGTCATATCTCAACTTAAATTAAAAACTCAAATCAGCGAAATAAACGAGCTCTACGTAAACAGCCGGAAGATGAGCCCACCGCGGGTTAAAAACTAGCCTGGAAAAAGGTGTTAATTTTTCTTTCATGAAGACACATGAACTGCTCTCTTTTGCAGTAGGTAAAAAATCGAATCATTCAATTAGTCCAAACGATCTAATCCAATCCATAAGAACTAATCCTATCTAAAAACACAGATAAATTTTAGAATATGAAACTGAAAACACAGTGTAACATAAATGCTTTCTATTGTGTTGTTATTTTTGCATGTTTAATTATTTATTTTCTTGCTTGGTTCTCTTTTGTTATTTCTAGGACCCTTCTAATTTTTGCGGAATTCTTAGCTAAGTTAAAATAGATGAACAATTTGGTTGAGGCTGGTGCCCCTTGACATGCTTGTCTTGTTGGTGATATTTGTTTATGCATTGATCTTTCTTTCCCCTTACTTTTTTGTAGTTTAATTTCGACAAAGATTGTATTTTTTAAGATTAAAAGTCTCTAATTTGTTTGTTATGTTGGATAGCTTTGGTTTTATGTTGGATGATAAGTGGATGATGGAGGACTAAATTGATATCTTGAAAACGTTTTGTTTGTCACTTTGAGTCAGATTTGTGAAATTTAACAGGTTTTAAGGGAAAAAAATCAAAAATACCACTCAAAATGGTAAAAAAATATTATTTATATCACTCAACTTAAAAATAAACAATTATCATTCAATTAATAAAAAGAAAAAAAAATCATAATGATACTAAATTATTTATAATGACATAAATAATAGACCCATATAAAACCATACAAACAGTGTATTTTTGTCATTTTCTAATAAGTTGTGATGAGAGCTAAAGCCCAAGCCTAATCAAATCTCATCCTATCCTCATCCATTAGATTGGTTAATAGTAGCCCACTGTATTATATTGAATCAACGAAAATAGTAGAAAATATGTCAATATGAAAAACTTAAGAAAATATATAGGTCAATTTTTAATTATAGAAATTAATATGCTATAACTTGTAGTTATGGTTCATAACTAGATAAGTTATTGACAAATTTATCAAGTTATGGTTCATAACTAGACAAGTTATGGACAAAAACCGTAAATTATGGACAATAACTTGTCAAGTTATGGTTCATAACTAAACAAATTATGGACAAAAATAGTAATTTAGCTTATTAATTAACTTGTGTAAATTATTAACTTATTAATTTTAATTTATCTCAAGTCTTAACCTATTTCACTCTTTCTCTCATGAATCAGTTGGATTCTTAAAATACCATAATAACACGCATGATTACATTGGATGATGGGCGCTGAAAAATATTAACTTCGATCCATTGCCCACTAGTTTCTCTGTTTGAATTTACGTGAGCGAAAGGAAGAAAACACACACACACACACCAAATCTTCCTTAGTTGCAAGGAATATTTTTACATAATTTTAGGCTTCATTCATTTCACAAATTTAAAATTTTAATTCTAAATTTTTATAGTTAAAAATTCTTAATATTGCATCTAATTTTTTTTATTACAGTTAAAAGTCTCATAAAATATCACATCTGAATTCGAATTGAAAACTCAAATTCGCAAAGCGAACGGAACTTTAGTCTTTGACAAATATTATAACTCAATAGTTAACCTGAAATCCACTGCCCTTCAACTCCTTTAGACTTTAGTCTTTGACAAATATTATAACTCAACAGAAATTCTTACAAAAGAATTTAAATGGGACAAATTCAAAATTGAAAAGACAAGATGAGAATTCTTAAAATTTAAAAAATAAAGTGAAAATGACTTCAAAATTTTAGAACACTGTTAAATTAATCCTATACCATTTGTTGTTGGTTTCAAGCGCAGTCCCAATTCTGTGGTTTTCAATAAACAGTTGTTCACGCACTTGACTTCACCACCTGAAGTAAGGACAAGTGTAAGGCAGTTGGTCATCCTCTCTGGGTGCCCAACATGGTGACAAATATTGCCATAGTCCTTTGTAGTGTCGTTTGTTGTGCTGATTGAGCACTCCAAAACCGCTGTTTCTGGCCAACTTCCAGGCATACCCCCACATGACAGTAGCCCAAATCAGAAAAGAATACGGTATGTTTCGCCTATTCGTCATGGGACCACCATATCCTTGCCGTACATCGATACTTATATAACTATATATGCATGTAATGCAAATTTGTCATTTCAATAAATGGCTAGTCTAAATTTAATTATAGCGGTTTCTTACGCAATTAATCACTCTTCAGAAACGTTTGGTTGGAAGATTCAAACCATATGATTCGAATTATTTTTAATTTATATGTATTTTTTATAAAAAAAAATATTATAATGAATTACAAATCATGATTCGAATCAGAGAACGAATCTCTTCACTAAACGTCCTTAAAGTGAATTGTGATTATGGGTGCACTAAGTATAAACTGAAGTAGTTTTCTCAAATGATTTATCATTTATTTAATGTTAGTTGAGTCCTTTTCTGACCCTTTGGCTGCCAATGCTAATGCACTGTTCAAAAGGAAAAGCCTACTTAAATAAAGAAGACTGATATTTCAAATGAAGAATTTCTTCATAGGAAGTTAAAAAAAAAAAAGGAAAACTAAAAAGAATACGGAGCTCTCTTTAAAAAAATTCACTGATAGAATACTCCGTTTTAACTGTTGGGTTAAGTTTTCAATTATTAGATATGTGCAAGTCTATATTAAAAATTTATCGCGTGCCAAATATAACTAATTTTTCTAGTAAATTTGATTGTTAAAAAAGTAATACAACGGTCAAAACGTGGTGTGACACTGGTGAATTTTTTTAAGAGTCTCACTCAAGAGAAAGCCAAAAAGATAAAGTATGTTTACATGTAGTTACTATTCATTACATCATTCAATAGAATAAGAAGAATACAAGATACTAAGATAGTCATCTAATCAAAAATAGTCTTTTCTAATAGACAAAGATAACTTCCCTAGTGCATGAGTATCAAAAGGAAGAAACCATAGGGCCCTAAATAACAAATTCATTAGGAAAAATAACAGCATTGACATCCTCTATACAATCACTTTCAATTAGGCACTAAGCCACAATGTAGAGCAAAAAGAAAGTCCTCTCATAGCAAGAGTTTCTGCATTATAAACAGAGAAAGAGCCACAATATGCTTGAACAAAACCAAGCAGAATCAACAGTAACGAAAATTAACACATTTAAAAATCAAAATACAATAATCATCAATTTAATATTATCTCAACGGCATAGACATGGAGCATGAGCATGAGGGCGATGATTCACTCGGAGAAATGCTTGCGCTCGTAGCTCGCTGGTGAGCGTCACAACACAAGCGATGCAGTGGCTGCAAAACAACCCCTGATGTTCTTCAACTTGGTTTTAGGCATGGTAAGCTATCGCTACAAGAGAAGAGCTCCTGAGCGCCGTGGCGAGCCAGAAAGGTTATGAAACTAAAGTGACAGAATTCACAACATGTCAATTACTTAACCCATATGAGGAGGGTAATATCGTAAAATATGCTATAAAAACGTAAGGTTATTTAAAAAGTGATTAAAATGCATCAGTTTATCAAGTTATTAAAAAAAATTAAGATTTGCTCCAAAAAAATTTCAAAATTCGTTGCCATCTGGATATTAAAGAATCGACAAATATACATTTCTCCTAATTAGCAGAAAGATAAACAAAATCGATAAATAAAAGTTGTTTTGCGTCTGAATTTTATTTTTCTTTTCCTCACTTTTCATCTCTTATGGGGTTTTGTATTGGCTTTGGACATTTCTTCTAGGTTTGCTTGAACGAAGCCACCATTTAAGGGAAAAATTAAAGGAAAAAAAAAGAAAAAAGAGAGAGAGAAAAAAAAACTCATCTCTTCCTTTGAAGAGATTGGTTGGGTACTTTCTTTTTGAATGACTGAGTTTTAAATCTAAAAATGAATTCATATTTTACATTGTACATAGTTCAATTTTACAGATAATACACGAAACTCATAAGTAATAGTTCAACTTAATAATGTTGATGATGGTGAAGAAACAAAATCTAGATATTAGGGTCTCGTTGAACGCACATCATCCTCTGTGAGTGGTGCCGCCGAAGAAGATAACTACTATGGCTTCGACATTGGTGCTCAGACCGTTCACGTTTGCCTTTGCTCACGCCAGCTCCACGCAATTTGAGAGCAAACTCAGAGTTGGTGATGGTGGTACCAGAGGATGTGGAAATGGTTTGAAACGTTTTGGAAATTTTTCGGATCTCTCCCTTAGAATATGCTTTTTGAGAGGAATCATGAGATCTAGTTTTGGATAAACTGATGCAACAATGCCCCTTCCGTTACCAGTTATTCTAAATGAAGATGGGTATAAGCGTAATTCTACTTTGAAATCTCACTAAATAATGGACACGTGACAAATTTCGTTACTCAGTGTAATGTAAGGGGTAAAATTGTTAACGGAACAAAGTTTGGGAAATCAGATGTTACGTTTTGAAATTTAGAGGGCAGAGTGTTACAATGGTCATAGTTCATAAGGAATTTTTGAAATTAATCATAGAAATAACTTAAAAATTTATAGCACACTAAAATACAATAACATCAATTAAAATTAAGTAAATAATAATATAAGATTTTAAGTATAACTATCATGATATTATAAGTTCATAATAAAATCTAAAATATGTAATGAAAAAAAAAGATTTTAATTTTTTATGAGTTTCGTGTCGTATTCAGATTAGACGGGTTTAATTCGAAATTGACCAATATTTTTTCTGTCAATTTTAGATCAACTTAATTCTGACCTGCACATTTTTTTTCAATCCCAACCTATAAAATTTGTGTCATTTTCAAATCGTACTGTCGTGTTATAATCTAAATTTGGGCCCGTTTAGTTCGCTGATTCGAGTTGAGATGTGACTTTATGTGAGCTTTTTACTGTAGTAAAAAAGTTAGATGTGACTGTTTCTGAGAGTTTTTTACTGTAATAAAACTCGAATTCTAAACTCAAATCAGTGAAGTGAACGGGTCCTATATTTCCGGCCTTAACCGTGACCGACCCACCATACAGCCATACAGCCAAAGACCCACAGTTGGAGTCGAACTCTTTTGAATCCCCTTCCTGGGTCCCACAGTAACAGCACAATTCCACTTCTTCGCTACGGTACTCATCATCATCATCATTATTATTATTTTTGAATTTTTCTTTTTTTAAATGAATTATTTGGTTGTAATACTGCTATTTCCGTAATTCCGTTTCCCAGTTCTTTCGCTGGCATCAGGCATCATTAAAAAAAAGAAAAAAATTCAATAAATCTTCTTTATTATTTATGTTTGGGGGAAAAGAAATTGGGTGAAAGTTATCGTTTTTAATTGGTTCGTAATCATGAGTACCGGAGATCTTCTCAACTTTCAACCTTCCGAGCTCAAATTCCCTTGTAAGTTTCTCTTTTTCTTTTCTTTTCTTTTCTTTCTTTCTTTCTTTCTTTTTATTTTTATTTTGACTTTTTATTATCGTTTTCTGTTTGGTTTCCGAGAATTTAAGATAGAAAAATAAATTGGGGATTTGGGATGTCAAATTAGGATACTTGATTAGACAATAGAAAAATAAATTGGGGATTTGGGATGTCAAATTAGGATACTTGATTAGACAATAGAAAAATAAATTGGGGATTTGGGATGTCAAATTAGGATACTTGATTAGACAAGTTGTGAGAATTGGCTTACGTTTGGTGGACATTGATTCGTGATGGTTCCCAATTTTTTGTGCCCTTGTTTCTTAGCGGAGAAAGTGGAGGGAAATTAGGAAAGTTTTGATCTTTGATGTTGTTAGCTACTAGATTGAGGAGGCCAAAAGAAATGAATGGGAAATGATGATAATTTGGGGTCAATTTAAATTTTTTTATTTATTTTTTTTAAATTTTTCTAGAAAGAAAAGATTTTACAAATACTTATTAATTTGTGAAATTGGACTCCTTTGCATGTGGTGAAAAAAGTTGAATTGAAGAAGCAGAGCTCATGTTCTATGCAGTTGACCAACAAGACAGACAAACATGTGGCTTTCAAGGTATTTTACTACTTGAGAATCTGTAACTGCATTTATACATTTCCTTTGAATTAACATTTTTATTGGTTATGGTTTCAATTATTATTGAATAATTTGGTTCAACATTTTTCGAACAGGTTAAAACAACCAATCCTAGGAAATATTGTGTTCGACCCAATGCCGGAATCGTTTTGCCTCGAAGTACCTGTAATGTTACTGGTAAATACTTCGTAGAATAGCTTTTGGTGTCGAGTAGTTATTCATAATTTCCTAAGTTTACTGTATCTGTTTCGTGTTTTCTGTTCTTGAATTTCTTTTTCACGCATAGAAGAATTCGAATGTTCTAGTAGTTGAGACATCTGTGTCTACTTCTACTAACGGTTTATTGATTCGGATGGACTTTGGTAGTCACAATGCAAGCGCAAAAGGAGACGCTTCTGGACATGCAGTGCAAGGACAAATTTTTGCTTCAAAGTGTTTCTGCTCCTGATGGTGCAACGAGTAAGGACATAACTCCAGAAATGGTGAGATGGTGTTGCTTCTTTGGTTCAAGTTTTTCAATCTTTTATGTTGGATATGTCTTTATTAGACTTAGCTTTTGTTTTGTAGTTTAACAAAGAGGAGGGTAAGGTTGTTGAAGAGTTCAAGTTGCGCGTAGTTTATATTCCTGCAAATCCTCCGTCACCAGTCCCTGAAGAGTCTGAAGAAGGATCTCCTTCCAGTGCTTCTGTGGCCGAGAAAGAGAAGCAAAATTCATTATTATTTGATTCTGTAAGAGTTTCTTACTATTTCTCCTTTGAATCTATTTCTCTTTATTGTTGCTGTAATTCCACGATTTGGGGTCTGAAGTTTGCACGAATCTGTTCTGATTATTTTTAAGGGGTGTTCTGAAAATTCTGTTTCGACATTTTGTATATTTTAGGTATCGAGATCGCTTGAGGCATCTAAACAGAAGTCTTCAGAGGTAAAAGTGAAATAGATCTTCATGTTCAGTACTTCTTGAAATAAATTCTTTTTTTCTTTTTTTGTTCATCTTATTTTTTATAGTTGGCATATTTGTTTCCATTATACTTTTCTTACCATGATCTATGAAAGTATGTGGGGACGAATGAGTGTATTCTCAAGGAGAGTTTTGGCCATACGAGTTTCCATTCTCCACACTTCTTTTTTTCCTCAATAACCAATATTGACAATACTACACACACACATGTGGTTTTAATGGTTACTCAAATATATACCCATCAATAGGTATCATTATTTTAGACACACAGAAATTGTTGAAAACCTATAATTATTTTGTGAATCCAGTTTTGCCTTTCCAATTTCTCAATATGTTATTTCTCTTTATGTAAAATATGTGACTAATTATGTTGTTGTGGCATTTCATACTAATGTTTATTTAGATTACCAAGCATTTTTCTGTAGAGCAGTTTTTGATATATGTTTTTTCTTCAGGCGTGGTCTGCGATTTCCAAGTTGACTGAGGAAAAAGCTTCAGCATTGCAAGAAAATCAAAAGCTTCGTCAGGAACTGGTATTGATTATGCTTATGCGTTTACAGAACAACAACGATTTTCTTTCGTTGATTATCTTAATGTGTTCATCTTTATTCTTTTCGTTCTACGAAGTACTTTTTTCACTTGAGTTTCGATATACTGATCAGCGGTCTCTCCCATGTTTGAGCTCGGAACTTGGCAATAAAACCACTCTCCTATCTTTAGCGCTCATAACAGTGAACAAGAAAACTAGTCCTTTCTCTCAAGAAAGAAAAATAATAAAATTATAGTATAAAAAAAGTGAGAATTCTTTGGTAGGATTTATAAAATCACATTGTCAATGGGTTACTGTTTGGCACAGTTTTGTCAGTTGTACATATTTTTTCGTCCTAATGTGTTTTGACTAAATCTAACGTTTCAGGAACGCGCACCGTCCAAAGCTAAAAGAAAAAACAGCAAAACTTGTCCTATTTCAACTATTTATTTGACTCTTTGTAATGATGAGTGCATTGACATATCAGCATCAACTCATTGTCTTCTCTAGCTCCAGCAATTGTTTTTTGATTTTTTTTGTTCATTCTTGTCGTAATAATGTGAAATCTTTTTCATTGACCAGGAATTGGCGAAAAAAGAGTTTAACAAGAGTGGTGCCGGTGGATTTTCTCTGTTGTTCGTGGCGGTTTTTGGCCTGTTGGGTGTCTTGTTTGGCTACTTGATCAAAAAAACATAGTAGCTCTTCGTTACTTTGGGTGCCGACATCAAAATTTGTACTTCTATTCCAAAGTTTTCACTTTAGGCGCTCCTTATGTTATGTGAAACAACAAAAATCTAGTGGTCTTCTTGTATATTATTATTTAACGCTTTCATTGATTAATCTAGGGGGACCAACATTGTAGTTTAGAATCAGAATTTTAACGTCATTATTACAATCAATTGACTAAACATTTGTATGTTTCTCTCTTTCAAACGCTCTTTGTTCTCTTTTTTTATCCAAGTTATTCAAGTATCATTTGTATTTCATTATAGACAAAATAGAACACTAAGATAACAAAATTAAGTAAAATCATTTAACCCCTTGAATGACATATTTACTCTAGCATATGCTCGCCAAATGCTCCAAAGGCAGCTACGGTGAAAGGAGATTAGGAAATTTTCTCGAGTTAATGAAGTTGCCGTTGTATTGATCACCTAGTTATTGTTTTTTTTTTTTTTTTTTTCCCGAGTTGAAAATAATTAAACACTAAACTTTGAGCTAAATTTTTCAACTTCAAGTGCACAAACAACATGGCACACATTTCTCAAACTACGAATATTCATTAAACGATAAAAAAAGAACGTACCCAGAAAGTATTAATTGGAGCCAATCGTCACAAACGCAACATGAGATATCTTAAAGCACTATGATCACAACTACATCTTAATCCAATCACGTTAATTACAATTTACACATCACAATCATAAACTAGAAGCAAAAATATAAACTGGGTGACTCTTGAATCTTGATCATATTAGTTTCACACGGGACTAACATCATTAGCAACCGTCGCTGCGGCTAATTCATTCCCTTTTCCTTCTGGGTTCGAGGCATGTTTCTTCTCAAGGTTTTCACGAGGACAAGGCCAGCGTCGCCGAGCTTCATGATGACGACAACGTTGAAACCCTCTGGTTATGAGAGATCCAAACATGGCTCCTATTACAAAGGTGGCACCACTTCTCACAAGAGACATATTTTGGTTTATAAAGAGAGAAAAATGGGATTTGAAGATGAAGAGTTTGGAGAAAAAGAAACCTTTGATGGGGTTTTGAGGTAGAAAATGTGTAGAAGAAAAGACTTTCTCTGAGCGGTTTGAGTTGTAGACTTTAATTGGAGGCTTTTTATAAGTTACTAATTTCTTGAAGCCCAAGACACTTTTCTTGGACGACGATTTCGCAAATTGGTGGCCCCTTCCAAAAGGGTTAAGACCCCACAGGATTAGCTTGACTTTATTCTTTTATTCTCTCCGTCGTTTTTGTCACTTGGTCTAAGTATCATGAGGCAAGTGTGTGTTATCTGCATGGATTAAGATTTTTAATCTTTAGTCTTGATTTATAACTTTTTAAGTTAAATAATAACACTAATAAAAAAATATTTATTAAAAATAAAGAGTAAAAATTTAGATTAATACATTTTTAATGATAAATTCTCCATTTTTTTTATAATGAGTTATGATTGTGAAGCGGTTGAGTGACAAATTTCTTAATGCCCACAACATTTCTTGACGAGGTCAACTTTTTACAAATTGGTGTGCCGCCTTCCCCAAGGGTCAAACAACCTAGTATTGAATATTGATTAACTTGAGTCTATTGATTCTTTTATTGGTCTGTTTAATTCACTGATTCGAGTTTTTAATTGAAGTTGAGATGCGATTTTAAGAATTTTTTACTGTAACAAAACTCGAATTCTAAATTCGAATCGGTGAAATTAACGGGGCCTGTAAAACTTATTAGTCACCCTATTGTTTTATTCTCTCTACTTTTTTCTATCATTTTTATTTTGTTTGCTGCAATGTTTAAGGGGTATAATATTAAAAAATGTTAGAACCACCTTTTATTAATGTGTGATCCTAAGCGTCATTGATGCCCTGTAAATGTAATGAACAAAAATTTATTTAACGCATTTCTTCTAGATGGCGTGTTTAAGAAATGAGCCAGACGAGTTTGACTTGGTCTATTCACTGGAATATAAGCTTTAGAATGGGTCCATGGGATGCATATTCTATGATAGGAACTACAGATGTCTTTGAAATGTGAATATACAGTTTATTGTTAAAAAATAAAAAGACTAATAATCATACATCTAGAAAATACCAGAATGAAATGAAAAAAAAAAAAGCTAAATAACCAAGACATATTGAGAGCCAAAAAAAAAAAAAAAAAAAAAAGACATATCCCCTTCTCAATGAGGACACAGCGGTGAAACATGTCCATCAATCTCGGTGAAATCGACGTTGTTGCAGAAAGCTTTAGCCGTGTCTCCTTCGCTGCGGCGCAGGTCAACATCTCTTAACACAATCCCTTCACACGCAAAGCTCTTGCTGCAATCAAACCTTATGGCAACATCAGACGTGCTTGTGCCCGTGATGTTCTGGTACAGCACATCTTTCACTTCAACCGCTGAGCCCTGTTGAATATAATTAATTAAGATATATTATAATCAACCATGTTAATTAATTGATTAACACTTCCAACTATTTTCTGTGGAGTAGGAAAATTCTTTACCTGTTCTTTGCATGGATTCTGACGATCGGTGCAGTAGTTTTGGTCTATTATAATCGGATTGCGCACTCTCTGCATTTCAATGTCTATAAACTTGATGTTGCTTGCATTTCCTGAACCTCCCTAAATTTTGCAAAACATAGAGAATTTTTTTTTTTTTTTTTTTTAAAATGTTATTATGAGACAAGTTATTCTAATGTGTTTTAAGTTATTATAGGAAAAACAAGTTTGAATTTTTATTTACCTGCCAAGTCTTGATTCTAACTCCATTTGTGGTTCCATAGAATTTGGATTTTCTAACAATCACGTCTGAAACATGGGCTTCTGAATTTCCATGTCCCAAGCTACCAATAGTGTACGACAAATGAACCAACAAGTCATATTAATAAAAAAAAATTAGTAAAATTAATTAGAGTACTCGAAAATAGAAAATATAATGCAATTTTACCTGATTCCATGACCTGGTCCGCATATTATATTTGTTGCTCTCACGTTTTGCGATCCACTCACAATAGAAATACAGTCATCACCTATAGGGCGCACAAAAAAAAAAGTAAATTGCACAATATTCATTACAAGATAGAGCCTTATGGATCTTGCATACACAGATATGTTGGACCCTTATGGACCCTTAATATGTTACTTTATTTTATACGCTATGACCATAATGTTATTTCAAATGCTATATCTATTTTTTTTTGTCAATACTTATACATTTTAGAACTTATGGAAATAAATTTTTAAATTTAAAATAATTTGAAAATTATAATGTTGTAATGTATAAATATTGAAAAACTCAATATATCATCCACTAGCAATCAAATGCCGAAATTTGGCATGTGTTATAATACATTTGATGTCAAATTTAACACAAGAAGCATTGAATTACTCAAATGCTAAAATTTGACATTGGCACATTAATTTAGTATTATATTGAAGATGTTATAATACGTATGTTATAAATGTTGATATACGTACCAGTTCCTATAACACAATTTTCAATCTCAATGTCTTGGCAGTGTGTAACATGAATTCCATCGGTGTTAGGACTATCCCCAGGCGCAGTTACATTGAGATCAGAAGCTTTAACATGATTGCAGTGCTCAAAGGCAACATTCATTTGTTGTGCATTTTTGATATTGAGATCCCTCACTGCTAGATTCTCGCATTTATGAAAGGTTAAAGCCTGAGATCACCAAAAGTAGACATTTAAATTCTAATGAACAAAAAATAATAAAAGAGCAAAATATGGGTGTTAGTTCGTGGTTCGCTACAGTATTTTCTCTCATAAAAAACACAAGTAAATTGAGAATGGTTCTGAATCATAGTTCTGAATCTGTAAACCAAACGTCGTTTAAAGTGGACAAGACAAACAGGGTTGAAGAAATACCGTTGGCGTCTCAATGCAAGGCTGCAAATTAGTAATACAGAAAAAAAAAGTTAGGATATGAATAAAGGAAAAAAAAAAGGGGGATAGAACATAAAATGTAATGTGGACTTACTAGTGATCTGTGAAGTATGCAAGAGTGCTTCCACCATACATCTCCATTGCCATTGAGGGTTCCACCACCTTCCACAACTAAGTTGTCGACGGCGTCGAACAAAAGCCAGCGCTTACCGAATTCACCGTAATCTGATCGATCGCCGGATGCTTCTATAGTTCCATGAATCTGAAATCACATCACAACCAAATATCTTAATTATAGGTACATTTATGTTCTATTATCTCTATCACAAACGCAGGTTTTTGTGTTTAATCAATTTGCTCACCTGAACTGTAAGGATGGATTTGCATGGACCACCAAATCTGATTGGTCTAACAAGATAGTTCTTATTTGGCACCACCAGGAATGCCGCATCCTTAGAAGAACAAGCTCTCTCCCAAGCTTTATTAAATGTCTGCAAGACAACATATATATATATATATATAAAATATGTACATATAGTTTTTAATGAAGTATCTATAGAACCAAACCACACGTTAATTAAAAAAAAAAGACGACTAATCTTTTGTCTCTCGTCTAAATCACACTTTTATAATTAGCCATTAACTTTTTTTTTTCTTTTTTTTTTGCTCTCATCAAGTGACACCAATGAGAAAAATAATGAAAGTAAAGAAAGAAAGAATGTAGTAGTCTCGCATGTCTTTGTCTAGAGCTGACAATCCGAATAGCGACATGACGACACTATTTGAAACCCGCATGAAGTTATAGGATTTAGATTTACTATAAATGGGTTTGGTTCATAATTGGATTAACACGATTAATAAATGAGTTGAATTAGGGTTGACCTTGTAAAACGAAGTGACATAAATTGACACGATTAACTATATGTGTCGTCTACAATTTAATGATATGTGATATAACATGAAAGTTTATATGACATATTAAATACAAATAATGTGAACTTTAATATTTGTAAGTAAAATTCATTTATTTTTCTTAAAAGAAAAGATAAATTGACCAATAAACATGTTAAACATGTTTTTATCATGTTAAATAAGTCATTATTATATTAGTTACTTATTCAATATATTAATTTAAACAGGTTATACGGATTGACACGATTAACACGATTAATAAATGGATCGTGTTTGAGTTGACATTTTTGACACGTTTAATAAACAAGTCGTGTTTTGTTTGATGTTATTCGACGTGATTAATAAACGAGTTGACACGAACGCGAATTATCACACTTACCTCTGTGTCATCTTTGCCATTTCCTTTAGCTCCAAAGTCATCAACATTAAACACTGATTGTTGAACCGGAGGCTGAGCAGGATTCCCTACTTTGTGACCATTGTCGTTTCCTGGTTGTTGAACCGGAGGTGCAGTGTCATTTTTCCCTCCTTTGTGATTACCATCATGTACTGGTTGTTGAACTGGAGGCCTAGCGGGGGCCCCTCCTCTGTGATTATTATGGTGTCTTCTGTGACTATGATGATGTCTTCTGCGATTATTATGGTGTCTTGGTCGTTGAACCGGAGACCCAGTGGGGTTCCCTATGTGATTATTGTCGTTTCCTGGTTGTTGAACCGGAGGAGGCGCAGTGTTGTTTTTCCCTCTCTTGTCGTGTCCTGGTGGTTGAACCGGGGGAGGTGCGGTGTCGTTTTTCCCTCCCTTGTTGTTTCCTGGTGGCTGAACCGGAGGAGGCGCGGTGTCGTTTTTCCCTCCTTTGTCGTGTCCTGGGTGTTGAACCGGAGGAGGCGCGGTGTCATTTTTCCCTCCTTTGTCGTGTACTGGTGGTTGAACCGGAGGAGGCGTAGTGTCGTTTTTCCTCCCCTGGTGGGCATGGGAACAGCCTGGGGAAACGACACCAAATTCAGTCAATTCAACGTTCTTACACGAAGCTTCAGCCAGCTTGTGTTTCCCACGATGTTGTCGTAAATCAATGTCTTCCAACACAATGTTCTCACAGTGGAAGGTCCTGCTACAATCGAAATTTACTACAACTTTTTTGGCACTTGTGCCCGTGATGTTTCGGTACAATACGTCTCTCACTTGGACTGCCGAGTACTGTTGATAATCGTAGCATCATTAGTGTGTGTATATATATATATATATCAATTGTGAAGCATATTATAAAGAATAAAAAAACATTTGTACCTGTTCTTTGCATTGATTTTTCCTGTCGCAGTAATTTTGGTCTATAATGATGGGGTTGTACACGTTATTCATTTCAATGTTGAGGAACTTTATATTGTTTGCAATTCCTGAGCCTCCCTGCATTTGGACGCCACGTTAGACACTTGAAGTTAGACTCATTTTTTTTCCTAAATAAATGTTGCTAAATTTATGTGATTATGTATTAATTTGATTTGAAATTTAGTGCTAAATTTACCTGCCAAGTCTTGATTCTAACTCCATTTGAAGTATGAGCAAACTTGGCTCTGTCTACTATTACGTCCGACACATGTGCTCCCTCTCCTAAACCACCAATACTATACAAAAACAATGAAACATACTATAAAGGGAAAACAAAAAAGCAAAAAGTAAAAAAAAAGAAAAGAAAAAAAGTTGCATAAAAATGATGAATAAGTTACCTAATTCCATGACCCGGTCCACATGTTATGTCTGTTGCTCGCACTTTTTCAGTCCCACTCGAAATAGAAATACAATCATCTCCTAACACAATAGAAAATAAATTTACATATATATATATATATATATATTACGAAACAATCCTAAATATTGACATGAAGTGAAATTACATAAGGGCTAGTTTTAGATATCTGAATCGAGTATTAGGCTGACATTGGATTGTTCTTTTGGAGTATAACTTGAGTGTAGTTTTTGAGTTGAATTTGAGTTATAATTTGAGTTGAAGTTAGAACTTGAATAAAATTGAGTAAAATTAAATAAAGTTGAAACTTAAAAGAACGTGAACTTGAATAAAGTTGAAACTTAAGTTGTCTTTTTTTGAGTTTTTTTGGACAAAAGAACATGCCCTTAAGATCTCAAAAAAAATTATTCTACACTCGAATTTTTTATCACAGGCCTACCTTAATATGTGGTTTGTATCCCCGTTCATTTCGCTGATTCGAGTTTTGTTATAGTAAAAAGCAATCAGAAACAGTCACATCTAACTTTTTTACTACAGTAAAAAGTACTCACATAAAATCACATCTCAACTCGAATTAGCGAATTAAATGGGCCCTAATTTTTTAATTTGATGTAAATGGAAATATATGTACCTGTTCCTATATCAGAGTTAGAGATCTCAATGTCCTGGGAATGTGTGATGTGGATTCCATCGGTGTTGGGAGCGTTCCCTGGTGCAGTCACGGTAAGATGGGAAGCTCTAACTTTGTTGCATTTCTCGAAGGCAACTTGCATTTGTGGTGAATTTCGTACTTTCAAATCCCACACCACCAAATTATCACACTCCCGGAAAATCAATGCCTGCATGCCACATCACCAAAACACACACACATTTTTTTTTTTTTTTTGATAGGCACACATTATTTAAATATATATAGCATATGACATGGTCTCCAAATCAATAACATATAATATAGGAAAATATTTACTAACAATATGCTTATATAGATGTACTGACCACATAGGGTTGGAGGACATACCGTTGGCGCTTTAGTAATGCAAGGCTGTAAATATCCATAGAGAGAAAAGAGTTATTAGCCACTTAGTCTTTTTGAATAGATAGCAAGTGATACGTGTTAAAAGAGTAAAATATCAGAGTCCCCCATTGTCTAAATACAAATAAAATCACAATTATATAAAGATATTGAGCCACCCTATTTAAACATGTTAACTTTTTAAAATAAAAGCCGAATACCTTATAAAGTACAATTATTCTCCTATATATAAGGATATTGAACTACCCTATTTAAACAGGTGATCAACCTTTTAAAATTATAAGAATAAACACTCATGTTTAATAAATAAAACTACATTAAGGATAAAAGGGAAACTGTAAGAATGTTTTTTTTTTTTTTCAAATATAATGTTAATGTTAATAGAATTTTTTGGTTTTTTTTCTTGTTTGACAAAAGTAATTCTAACAAATTATATCATATTGAAAAAAAATAAAAAGAAAGACTTTTTTGGACAAAAAGTTGAATAAAATATTCCACATAATACAACTACCAAAATTTTATCCCTTTCAGAAAAGTATAACAAGATTTTAATTATAAAAAAAGCGTGATTTCATAAAAAGGTAAAAACAATCATGATTATATTAGTCTCACGAACATAATTTCAAGTGAAACTATGCATACGTTATATAAAGAAAAAATGTTGAATAGTTTAGGGAAGAAAAATAAAAAAAAAAGGAAACGCGGGATATTTGCATTCTCTCCTCCAAAGTTCAAATCTATCATTATCCTTTTGGAATATATAGAAAATTGGGTTATTATTTTTTAGATAGCTACAATTTTTCAACACCAATTGACGTGAAAATTTTTGAACAAAATGTAAATAAGGAAAAATAATAACAACTGGTCACATTTCATGTAAGTTGCTATTATAAAACAATATAGAAAGTGCGATTTACCTGATATTTGATAAATTTGCAATTGTGGTCCCACCACATGTGTCCTTTGCCATCGAGGGTCCCACCGCCTTTGACCGAGAGATTTTGGACGCTCTTGAATAAAAGCCAGTGGTGGTAAATGTAGTCTGAGCGATTATCAGAAATTTCTATGGTTCCTCGAATTTGAACGGTGAGATTATTGGATTTGCACGGACCTTCTAACGTGATTGGTTTAACTATATATCTCTTTTGGGGCACAACAAGAACCGTTCTTCCAGTTGATGAGCAAGCCTTCTCCCACGCCTTCTCAAAAGCCTGCCCAGAAATTACAAAAAAAAAAAAAAAAAAAAAAAAAAAACCAATTCCAACACCAAACATAAATATAAGCGTAGGTACATATCATGTAAAATATAAAAGTGTATATAATAAAATATAATACAAAATCCTGTGGATTTTTACATACAAACTCTACATCTTCTAAGAAAATAAAAATATAAACACACACACACACATATATATATATGTACACACGTTAACGCACATGCACACAAATCCTAAAACCTATATATAAAACACTAAGCAGGTCCGCAATGGTAAAAAAAGAGCCTGATTATTGTACTTTAGTTTAGAAGACTTTACAGGGCAAAAACCTTCAAAATAGAGTAAACATACAAGTATGCATAATATATATATATATATATATATATATATGATAAAAGGTAGTTGCATAATATGTTCAAAATTATCATCTTAACACTGAAAATAACACTACACCCTTAATTTTATATATCCTTTTGGTCTATTACTAATTATAATCCAATAATGAATCAATTTGTGTAGTTTTCAGATTAACGTTATACGGGGGAGTCCTGTGTTTTACAAGGTGTGCAGATTATGAGAATCATAAGCTGCATACTTGGTAAAACAAAGGACACCTCCTTACACACAGAAATCTGAAAACCATTGATAATTGTGCGATATAAGCAAATAATGAAGCATAACGATTACTAATACTGTCTAGGGAGACTTCTAGAAAAAGAAAAAAAAAAAAAGCTAATAATAATGAAGACAATAACAGCACAACAAAAACAATAATAATGGGAGAGGAGAATCAAGAGCCGTATTCTCCCCAAACTAAATCCCTAAACAAGAGATTCTGTTGAATGTTAAATATGAATGAGGAGCCTCATAGGATATTTATAGTTGTATATGTCTAATTGTAATTATACTAGGAGTCATCTTCTTGAAGTAGAAAACGAGTTCCTTTGGGAACAGCTCATAGGGAGTGTGGAAAATTAGATTTTTTTTTAATTAATGGCTAATCTGATATAGTGTAGATAATTTTAAAATAAATGATCAGTAGATTAGTTATTTTTGGATTCAAACTTATCTACTAATTTAAATTCTAAAACAACTTTAAGCAACAAAAATTAAATTCTAATTTAATTAAATTCTGAAAATCTAATCAATGACACATGGATGGCCCCTTGATCAGCCATTAAGGACTGAAATTCACCAATGCAAAAACTATATCTATAAATAAATGAGAAAGCAAAAAGCGATAAATATATCTATAAATAAATTCACCAGTACTAAATATTTATGATTTGAATTTGTTTGCCATCGTTCTTAAAAAAATAATTATATCGTTCTTTGCTCACATTTTTGTACAGAGCCTTTGAATCCCTCTGTCTATTTATGAACTTGTATTGTGCTCATAAAAATGTGAGGAGAGAACGTTATAATTATTTGATTAAGAGAATCAAGAGCCGTATTCTCCCCAAACCAAAGCCCTAAACAAGAGGTTCTGCTGAATGTGTTGAATATGAATGGATATTTATAGTTGTATATGTCTAATTGTAATTATACTAGGAGTCATCTTCTTGAAGTAGAAAACGAATTCCTTTAGGACCAGTTCACATGGAGTGTGAAAAATTAGATTTTCTTTTTAATTAATGGCTAATATGATTTAGTGTAGATAATTTTGGAATAGATAAGTAGATTAGTTATTTTTGGATTCAAACTTATCTACTAATTTGAATTTTAACTGTTTTCGTTTTTCAAAAAAGAGAATCTCTCTTCTTATTTTGTAGGCCTTTTTTGTGCTGAATTTGTTACCTTCAGAATTCCTAGTAGAATTCTACTCCTCTATAACTATTTCCGTAAATGCTCAGTCAGTACGCGAGCGGAACACTTCCTTCTATTCACCAAAAATTCATCAATTGGTACAACATTCGTTTCAATTTTTTTTTTCTTCATATGATTTCTTTATATAACGTTGCATATCAGCCTTTTGTGATAAAAGTTTGGACAAAACCTGAATCGTTGAGCAAAAAAAAAAAAAAAAAACTTGACCACCTAAATCAAGAAAATCTATAAATCGTTTCAACTTTCACCACGTAAAGCATAAGCCTGCACCCTGTTTGACCACCTGATCATCTCCTTTTTTGTTTAGTTTCATTATTTTTTTCCTCTAACTTTAATTAGACTCCAAGCATTTTTATACTTGAATTGATTGAACTTTAAAAAGATAATATTATTTTCAATACTTGTAAAACATATATTTGTGTAAGCCTGTAGATATATTTTTACGCACACACTTTGTACATATACAAATATAGGCATAAAAAATTTACATGCACAGACAAATATATATTAATATATTTGGTTCATAGGTTAATTTGAACAAAAAGTTTGAAGAGAAATTAAAATTTTTTTAAATGTAGTTCAAACTTAGCTATAAATCAAAGGGCACGTAAAACTTCCAGCACTAATTTGTTTTACGTACCTTTGTGTCGTCATTAGTACCATCCCCGTTAGCTCCAAACTCATTGACGTTGACTATTGTTGTTCCTTCATCTTCTTGTATGAGAGACCTCTCGAAACGGAAGAGCCGAGCCACTGAGCTGAACAAGTAGTCCTTCAAATCGCCATGGCCGTGATGATCAACGGTATACGTCGAAAGATCATCGACATGATCAGCAGAACTTGGATGATTTTCCAAAAATCTGCCGGTACATGAACCGAGGAAAGAGAAAATAATTAAGCTCACGATCAATGAGCTCCTCGAAGCCATTGTTTCTCAAAAGATGGAATAATGTTAAAAGTGTGAGATTCCGTATGCTTCCAAGCGTACTATATAGGTGAATAAATTGAGATAATTGAAACTTTTTCTATATTGGATTTGTTAGTTTGTATATATTGATAAGGATAATTGATAATTTCAATATTTTGTATTTATCTTATAGTAATTTAACTCAGCTTATTTAGGGATTAGATTAATAATTATTTTTTTATTTTAAAGTTTGAGTTATTATTTATTTATTAAAGAAACACCATTATCAAATCCTCAAATTTCTCTCTCTTAATCCACTGTACGCCACTGAAACCACCGAGGTAATTCATCACCGATTGCACCAGTTGAAACGGTTTCAAAAGAGTTCTATAACTTCTGCATTTTTCTGAATTTTGTTGTCTTTCCCTTTTGTTTTGTTACTTTGGCGATCCTCATACAATTCTTATCTTTTTAAACATCTATTTCTGTTTAAATTCCATAACTCTCTTTCTGTATATTCTCCCTTTTAGATGATACATCTATACATACATAATATTCTCCCTTTGAAGGTAGATGATATATATATTTCTTTTCAAGACATGTTGCGATTTCTGAACATTGTTTCTCATAATATGTGTCGTTTTCTTATTACATTATCCTTGTTTAATATGTATTATCGTTTCTAGTCCTTTTCTTATATATTATATATTACTATGTAGACACGTGCTTCACACGTGTGGATTACTTAATTTAATAAATATATTTGATATTTGGATCTGATTTTGAAAGCATTTAATTCCATGCAATTGATTAATAAAAAAAAATGAAATTATGAAAATAAAACATGAAATGTCTTCTAGCTATTTTTGCTTAAAATTAATCATCAGAAAATATTGTTTCTAGAATTGTATTAGTTTCTAATAATTTCAATAAAATTTAATCAATAAACAAATTAATTTGTGCCTCAATTCCCCATTTGTTAATAGTTAATACATAAATTCTTTAGAAACGAGCAAAACTATTGGTAAAAACTAATGAAAATGAGCAAGCAAGGCTATTGGTAAAAATTAATGAAAATAATCGTAGAGAAATAATGAGAGAAAAATAAACAAATTATGAAAAGGTATTGAGAAAAAAAAAAGATAAAGTTACTTCGAAGGAAAATTAAAATAAATGAAATAACTAATAATGGAATACGTATAAAAAGTAAAATTATAAAGATACTTATAAAGACTTCACCCACATGTAATTAGCTAAATCTTAGATGATTGCTAGTCAAGATTGTTAATATTTAAGAAAGCGTCTTCTAATATTAGGATATTTCCTAGTAAACTTAAAATTATTTCAGTTCAAACTGTAGAGTCTGGTGAGCAAAAAGGTGATGAGCGTAAAATTAGGATATTGTCATATTGGTATACCGTATACCAATGACCTAAACCAGGCATAATTAGCAGCAATATTAAACAACGTCATGAAAGCTTCAAGGGTGCCTTTCTGAAAGACCTCAAAGTGAGGTTTTGATTAAATCTGTGGTTCAAGCCACCCCCCCAACACACACACACACACATATATATATTGGACTGTTGATGAGTTTATGTAAAGATTTCACGTTTGATAATGGAAGCATCTTCTTAAACTAGGGAAACCGAGTTTAGTGATATGGAACCTTCTTCCCACAGGAGTTAACTAGCAAACTTAAAGCAATGGACACATTGAGCTTGACAACTCCAAGTACATTGGCCTTAATGGCAATATACATAAACACAATGTAGCTTTAAGATCTGCAAGACCCTTTATGAGGGAACAACATATCTCGCTCGGGTTTAGCCCCAATGACCAACCCGAGCCAGATTCCACAAACACCAAACTCGAGGGTGTCTTTAGGGCTCTTGCCTTGCTTCTTAGGTGCAATGGCGGGCGAAGGAATAGTACCATTTGGAGGGTGTGGAACCTTATTAGAGGAGACACTAGTGAAGAACATAAGGTTAAACACAATGAGAAGAGTTGCAAAAGCCTTGGAATAACCGTTAGTACTGCCCATTATGATTTTCATGATTCAACAAATTTTGAGTTTGGGGCCGTTTAGTTCGCTGATCCGAATTTTTAATCCAAATTGAGATGTGATTTTATGTAAGTGTTTTTACTGTAGCAAAAAGTTATATGTGACTGTTTTTTAGAGCTTCTTACTGTAGGAAACTCGAATTTTAAACTCAAACTCGAATTTTAAACTGAGTGAAATGAACGGGACCTATGATGGAAAGAATAAATTGGATTTATTGAATTTTACTGAAGGTGTATTGAAATATATATATATATATATATTGTAGGCTTGAAGATGAGGTTATAGAACTGGCTTCGAATGTTGCCCTTGTTTCTATTAGGAGTCTTTTGGTCATGTGAACAGAGATATTGCTTGTATATGAGCGTAGATCCAAACGTGAAGGCCGACCTTTTGGCAAAGAATGACGACAATAGCATGGGACAACGACAGCATTAGAAAACCGCATGATATCAGTAAACGACCACAATTTGATAAACGACAATAGGACTGTCACACGACACATTTAAGAAACAACAAAAGTATTAAACACGGAAACTTCTTAAATCTAAGTTGAAAACTGACAGGCTATTAACAAACGTCAAAAACATGAAAACGATTAAACGACTGTATGCTCAGAATTCAGAAACGTCAATAAATTCCAAAGAACGACGATATATAATAAGGAAACTTAGAAACCACAGAATAATAGGATAGCGACATGGGCTTAAGTTAAAGAACGACGGAGGAAAACAGTGAAAACTAAAAAGGACGACATCTTGAGAAAACGAGAAGAACTTAGACGATATCTATTATATAAATGAGAGTTTCCTTTCAATGACTATTCGAAATATTAGTCTATGTATTTTGACTTCACGTTCTTTCCTTTTTCTTTTTTGTTTGTATCCTGGGAGACGGACATCCAACGTTGCCTCAAGCACTCGTTAAAGGGGACGAATCCGTTTAAGAAAAGCGTGGTTCACGTGCCTCGACATCCTTCAAATTTCGTTCTCCGAGTTTGGTAGAAAGGTTGAATTAGTGTTGTACGATATCGTTATTTTGATCTCGTAAAAGTTGTTATTCTTCTTTGTATTTTCTATACTTTTGCTAACAAAATGTACCGAAGAAATTTGTTACTTCGTCCACGTCACTGCCCATTTGGACGCATCTTGAGTTTCTTCAGCAGTGCACGGTCCCGGCGGGTTAGGGGCCTAATGTGTGCGCTTGCGGACACGAATGCCGGACCAGAAAATCTGCTCCGTGCGAGCTTACTTTTGTAATTTTTATTTTTGATTCGGCCAAGGGCTTCCACCCGTTTGGCCTGAGATTAATGCTCGGTAAATGAGCATAATGGTGTGTAATGGGGCTTAATGGTGACCATTCAAGGTAAACTAAAATTTGTCATGGTTAAGAAGCTTAATGCCATCAGTTTTCATCATCAATGTCCGAACCTATATACAAAGTGTGGCTGGATTCATCATGGGAAAAATAAAATGTTTTTGTTCCATTACAATGCAGATGAATGTGTGTTTTAAAACACCATAATGCCATGGTCGAATTTGGAGCCTATATAAAGGTCATACTCCACATGAACAAGGGCACTCACTTGCACAAAGCACTCTCATCTCTCTCTCAAGTAATTCCTTTTCTTTTAGAGTTTGTCTTGTGTTATTTTTGTAGTTCCATTTTGGTAATAGATGGAAGGTCTGAGTTCTAGCTCGCTGGACGGTTTTGATAGTGCTTCGAGCTTCCGTCATTGTCGTTGTATCCTAGGAGACGGACATCCAATGTTGCCTCAAGCACTCGCCGGAGGGGACGAATCTGTTTTAAGGAAAGTGCGGTTCACGTGCCTCGACATACTTCAAATTTCGTTCTCCGAGTATGGTAGAAGGGTTGAATTACTGTTGTACAATAACGTTATTTTGATCTTGCAAAAGTTGTTGTTCTTCTTTGTATTTTCTATACTTTTGCTAACAAAATGTACCGAAGAAATTTGTAACTTCGTCCTCGTCACTGCCCATTTGGACGTCTTCCTGAGTTTCTTGAGCATCGTAAGACCAGTCCATGTCGGTGCATGCCATCTCTTCTTCTTCATATTGAAAGTAATAAAAAAAATTAGGCACACTAATTATCAAATAACAATAAACAACAATATATATATATATTATTTATAGAGAATTAATAAAGAAAGGAACAAGAAAAGACCTTTTTCGTCATCTTCTGTATCTTCATTAGTGTCCATATCAGAGGTTTCCACGTATGATACGTAGTCACACTCCATATAGCTCCATGCATAATCTTCTTACCGACAAGAAATTCATCGCACATTACCACGTCAGAGCCATCAGAATCACCACTAACATCTTTCTTGTCATCGGTGTGCACATATGAGGTTTGAGCATAATTAACGTCTATGTCCATGTCCATATCCATATGGCTCCAACAATATTCTTGATCACAAAAAATGAATTCACTCATGATTTGCCACTTCAAAACAACGTCCACAATCTACCGTCGTTGTCGTTGTATCCTGGGAGACGGACGTCCAATGTTGGCTCAAGCACTCGCTGGAGGGGACAAATCAATTTTAAGGAAAGCGTGGTTCACGTGCCTCGACATCCTTCAAATTTCATTCTCCGAGTTTAGTAGAAAGTTTGAATTAGTGTTGTATAATATCATTATGTTGATCTTGCAAAAGTTGTTGTTCTTCTTTGTATTTTCTATACTTTTGCTAACAAAATGTACTGAAGAAATTTGTTACTTCATCCTCGTCACTGCTTATTTGGACGTCCTCCTGAGTTTCTTGAGCATCGTAAGACTAGTCCATGTCGGTGCATGCCATCTCTTCTTCTCCTTCTTGAAAGTAATAAAAAAAATTTAAGCAAACTAATTATCAAATAACAATAAACAACAATATATATATATATATATATTATTAATAGAGAATTAATAAAGAAAGGAACAAGAAGAGACCTTTTTTGTC